AACCCAAATGCACTGGAGATCTCTTTTTCGAGTCGCAAAGCAAAGGGTCTGAATACTTACGAAAATAAGGTATTTCTGTTTTTTATTTTTAATACATTTGCAAAAATTTCTAAAAACCTGTTTTCACTTTGTCATTATGGGGTATTGTGTGTAGATTGCTAAGAAAAATGTTTTATTTAATCAATTTTAGAATAAGGCTGTAACGTAACAAAATGTGGAAAAAGTCAAGGGGTCTGAATACTTTCCGAAGGCGCTGTATTAATTATAATTCCCTTCTCCTGGCTGCTGTGCTCCGAAGCACCTCTCACTCACATGGCTCTCTGAGATATCTCAATTCTTATTAGCCAATGCGCGTCACGTGATCGGGTCCTTCTCACAGGCATCTCAGCTAAGACATTATTTTTTGTTTTGTTTTAATTCACCTTTATTTAACCAGGTAAACCAGTTGAGAAGAAGTTCTCATTTACAACTGCGACCTGGCCAAGATAAAGCAAAGCAGTGCGATAAAAACAACAACACAGAGTTACATATGGGGTAAAACAAAACAAAGTCAAAAAAATACAACAGAAATACATATATATACAGTGTGTGCAAATTTAGCAAGTTATGGAGGTAAGGCAATAAAATAGGCTATAGTGCAAAATAATTACAATTAGTATTAACACTGGAATGATAGATGTGCAAGAGATGATGTGCAAATAGAGATACTGGGGTACAAATGAGCAAAATAAATAACAATATAGGGATGAGGTAGTTGGGCGGGCTAATTTCAGATGGGCTGTGTACAGGTGCAGTGATCGGTAAGGTGCTCTGACAACTGATGCTTAAAGTTAGTGAGGGAGATAAGTGTCTCCAGCTTCAGAGATTTTTGCAATTTGTTCCAGTCATTGGCAGCAGAGAACTGGAAGGAATTGCGGCCAAAGGAGGTGTTGGCTTTGGGGATGACCAGTGAGATATACCCGCTGGAGCGCAGACTACGGGTGGGTGTTGCTATGGTGACCAATGAGCTAAGATAAGGCGGGGATTTGCCTAGCAGTGATTTATAGATGGCCTGGAGCCAGTGGGTTTGGCGACGAATATGTAGTGAGGACCAGCCAACAAGAGCGTACAGGTCACAGTGGTGGGTAGTATATGGGGCTTTGGAGACAAAACGGATGGCACTGTGATAGACTACATCCAATTTGCTGAGTAGAATGTTGGAGGCTATTTTGTAAATGACTTCGCCGAAGTCAAGGATCGGTAGGATAGTCAGTTTTACGAGGGCATGTTTGGCAGCATGAGTGAAGGAGGCTTTGTTGCGAAATAGGAAGCCGATTCTAGATTTAAATTTGGATTGGAGATGCTTAATGTGAGTCTGGAAGGAGAGTTTACGGTCTAACCAGACACCTAGGTATTTGTAGTTGTCCACATATTCTAAGTCAGACCCGCCAAGAGTAGTGATTCTAGTCGGGCGGGCGGGTGCAAGCAGCTTTCGATTGAAGAGCATGCATTTAGTTTTACTAGCGTTTAAGAGCAGTTGGAGGCTACGGACGGAGTGCTGTATGGCATTGAAGCTTGTTTGGAGGTTTGTTAACACAGTGTCCAATGAAGGGCCAGATGTATACAAAATGGTGTTGTCTGCGTAGAGGTGGATCTGAGAGTCACCAGCAGCAAGAGCGACGTCATTGATATACACAGAGAAAAGAGTTGGCCCGAGAATTGAACCCTATGGCACCCCCATAGAGACTGCCAGAGGTCCAGACAACAGGCCCTCCGATTTGACACATTGAACTCTATCTGAGAAGTAGTTGGTGAACCAGGCGAGGCAGTCATTTGAGAAACCAAGGCTATTTAGTCTGCCAATAAGAATGCGGTGATTGACGGAGTCGAAAGCCTTGGCCAGGTCGATGAAGACGGCTGCACAGTACTGTCTTTTATCGATCACGGTTATAATATCATTTAGGACCTTGAGCGTGGCTGAGGTGCACCCATGACCAGCTCGGAAACCTGATTGCATAGCGGAGAAGGTAATAATAATAATATGCCATTTAGCAGACGCTTTTATCCAAAGCGACTTACAGTCATGCGTGCATACATTTTTGTGTATGGGTGGTCCCGGGGATCGAACCCACTACCTTGGCGTTACAAGCGTCGTGCTCTACCAGCTGAGCTACAGAGGACCACAAGGTACAGTGGGATTCGAAATGGTCGGTGATCTGTTTGTTAACTTGGCTTTCAAATACTTTCGAAAGGCAGGGCAGGATGGATATAGGTCTGTAACAGTTTGGATCTAGATTGTCACCCCCTTTGAAGAGGGGGATTACCGCGGCAGCTTTCCAATCTCTGGGGATCTCAGACGATACGAAAGAGACGTTGAACAGGCTGGTAATAGGGGTTGCGACAATTTCGGCGGCTAATTTTAGAAAGAAGGGGGGGGGGGGGGCATGGGCAAGTTGCAGCGGAGGGTGCAGAGCTGGTGGCCGGAGTAGGGGTAGCCAGGTGGAAAGCATGGCCAGCCGTAGCAGAATGCTTGTTGAAATGTTCGATTATCGTAGATGTATCGGTAGTGACAGTGTTTCCTAGCCTCAGTGCAGTGGGCAGCTGGGAGGAGGTGCTCTTATTCTCCATGGACTTTACAGTGTCCAAAAACTTTTTGGAGTCAGTGCTACAGGATGCACATTTATGTTTGAAAAAGCTAGCCTTCGCTTTCCTAACTGATTGTGTATATTGGTTCCTGACTTCCCTGAAAAGTTGCATATCGTGGGGGCTGTTCGATGCTAATGCAGTACGCCACAGGATGTTTTTGTGCTGGTCAAGGGCAGTCAAGTCTGGGGTGAACCAGGGGCTATATCTGTTCTTAGTTCTGAATTTTTTGAATGGGGCATGCTTATTTAAGATGGAGAGGAAAGCACTTTTAAAGAACAACCAGGCATCCTCTACTGACGGAATGAGGTCAATATCCATCCAGGATACCCGGGCCAGGTCAATTAGAAAGGCCTGCTTGCTGAAGTGTTTTAGGGAGCGTTTGACAGTGATGAGGGGTGGTCGTTTGACCGCGGACCCATTACGGACGCAGGCAACGAGGCAGTGATCGCTGAGATCCTGGTTGAAGACAGCGGAGGTGTATTTAGAGGGTAAATTAGTCAGGATGATATCTATGAGGGTGCCCATGTTAACGGATTTAGGGTTGTACCTGGTAGGTTCCTTGATAATTTGTGTGAGATTGAGGGCATCTAGTTTAGATTGTAGGACGGCCGGGGTTTTAAGCTAAAAGTAGGCTACAAGTGAAGACATACACATCGGACACAACTGAGCGCGTCCCTCTCATCGCATATTGAAGATGTTAGAATAACTGTCCACATTTGGCCTACTTTTCTTCAGCCAGCAAGATTAGTAGGCCCGACGAACAGCAAAAGCACTAGCCCATGTCAATCTACAATCCCCCATAGTACAACAGTTGACCTATTCTATTGGTCAACTTGTCCATTCTGGGCAAGAAATAGCCTACTCTAGAACAGTTGTGGGGTGCGATGGATCCCAAATTAATACAACCACTCGCATCAAAAACATTTTTAAAAAAGCAATGAGGCTGACGCAACAGATCAGAACGTTTAGCTTAAAATGTTATTAGCTATTAGGCTTTTTCATCACACTATAAGCCCAGCAATGCGCACATGGCAGTAGGCTATAAGTGTGAATGTTCCAAAATGCAATCAATTCGCGGGAAAACACTGTTCTCAAAAGTGACCACAAATGCGATTATGCATGGTAATGCTTTATTATAAAGGTGCATTTTTATGGTGAAAATTATCTTCCCCAAACTTGAAACTCACACGCCTGTATGACAGTTAGGCTCTACACCGGTTGTAAAGCAAATTAATGTGCTTCATTTTAAGAAGTGATTTAGCCACTTTAGGTGCTATACAAACCTTTTCAAAACATATATGCCTATGGGCTACATGACGTATACGATTAAGATTAGAAAAAGTCACACAAAAAAAGGCATGTGCTGTTTCTTGCCATTCACAAGTGATAATACATCATTCACAAGTGATAGGCTAATATTGTCACCCATCAGACCATTCTTAATTTACTGTTGTCTTTACATATACTAAATAATATATGTGTGAAATTAGTTTTGATTTGGAATGGACCATTGTCATGCATCTGTCTCGAAACAGGGGCATGGGAATTTTTTTTAAATGTAAAACTCTGTTGTCTCACGGAATTGCACAGCCTATGGAAATGTTGAGCAACATGAGCTCATGGGTTCTCATGAAGTGTTTGATTTGATTTTTGAAAACATTTGCATTGATGTCAGAGTGATTAGAGGGATAATAGAGTGCTGAGTACCAGGCAGTTAGCAGGTTTGGTAGGCTACTAATGACCAGCAGCAGCATCAGAGCTTGGAGAAGCCTAATTACGGTGACTAAATGGTCAAGTGGAATTTGGCTATGGTCATGACTCGTTACTGCCGGTGTGGCGGTAATACGGTCACCATAACAGCCCTAATTCAACATACAATTGTAAGGCAACCCGCTGCAATAGGATCATGAGTTTACTCAACACAAATTAAATTGAGCAAACTCATTATATAAAGTTTGTATGTGAAAATTGTGTTGAGCAAACTCTCAATCCTATTGCAGCGGTTGAATCAACATTTTAAAAAATGGAGTGCACATACACACCATCACCACCTGCCCCCTCCCCTCCTCTGCTTTATACTGTGACTCCCAGGGCCTCCTCTCCTCTGCTTTATACTGTGACTCCCAGGGCCTCCTCTCCTCTGCTTTATACTGTGACTCCCAGGGCCTCCTCTCCTCTGCTTTATACTGTGACTCTCAGGGCCTCCTCTCCTCTTCTGTATACTGTGACTCCCAGGGCCTCCTCTCCTCTGCTTTATACTGTGACTCCCAGGGCCTCCTCTCCTCTTCTGTATACTGTGACTCCCAGGGCCTCCTCTCCTCTGCTTTATACTGTGACTCCCAGGGCCTCCTCTCCTCTGCTTTATACTGTGACTCCCAGAGCCTCCTCTCCTCTTCTGTATACTGTGACTCCCAGGGCCTCCTCTCCTCTTCTTTATACTGTGACTCCCAGGGCCTCCTCTCCTCTTCTTTATACTGTGACTCCCAGGGCCTCCTCTCCTCTGCTTTATACTGTGACTCTCAGGGCCTCCTCTCCTCTTCTTTATACTGTGACTCTCAGGGCCTCCTCTCCTCTGCTTTATACTGTGACTCCCAGGGCCTCCTCTCCTCTTCTTTATACTGTGACTCTCAGGGCCTCCTCTCCTGTTCTGTATACTGTGACTTTATACTGTGACTCCCAGGGCCTCCTCTCCTCTTCTTTATACTGTGACTCTCAGGGCCTCCTCTCCTGTTCTGTATACTGTGACTTTATACTGTGACTCCCAGGGCCTCCTCTCCTCTTCTGTATACTGTGACTCCCAGGGCCTCCTCTCCTGTTCTTTATACTGTGACTCCCAGGGCCTCCTCTCCTGTTCTTTATACTGTGACTCCCAGGGCCTCCTCTCCTCTGCTTTATACTGTGACTCCCAGAGCCTCCTCTCCTGTTCTTTATACTGTGACTCTCAGGGCCTCCTCTCCTGTTCTTTATACTGTGACTCCCAGGGCCTCCTTTCATTCATTTACACAGAGCAGATTCCCACTAACACCCATCCACACATCAACACACACACACACACACACACACCGTCTCCAGGACTATTTACATATCCACAGATAACCCGGTAGGATAAAACATTTCCATTAGACAAAGGTGAAATGGATCAATTTCCTCTGCCAAGATAAATCTCACATTTTACACCGACAGGGTCATTACACCAGGGCACATTTCAGAAATAATGTATTTAAATATCGAGCCGATAGCGGGAGACCGTTTCCTCCGCTTTCCAATTACCTTAAAGAAAAGCTTATTCTGTGGACAATAAAGCACATTACGGCACAATATGATACAGCCCATAAAGATCCCGGTATTTGATGAGGGGGTTAGAGAAAGCTCAGCATATTTAGGAAGGAATGACACCACCCTGTAGTTATCGCTGACACCTCCCTCGGCGCCTCATGCAAATGTCCTATTACCTCCCAGTCCACATAGATTAACAGGCATGCTGGGAAATAAACAGGCTTTCCCTTTTTTTCCTCCCTCCCCCCTCCCCCCCCCCCCCTGACTCCCTTGTTCCTTCATTGCGTTCTAAAAGAGGGGGATGATGAGGTGAAGGTGGTGAAGTTGGTGGAAGGTGGTGAAGGTGGTGGAAGGGGGTGGGATTGACAGGCCTGCAAGGTGATGGTGATGGTGATGCTACCGGACCTGCACGGCGCGGGGCAGAGAGAGAGAAAGGAGAATGAAAATCTCATCAGAGCTCTTCCACCCCAATTCATGGTTCCAGCATTGACCTTGAGTCTCCCCCACGCCTCCTCCCTTTCCTCTGTTAGGTGAAACAGCAGAATGGTGGTGGGGGAGCGTTGCCCTGGGTCCTTGCTGGGCTGAGCAATGTGCTGGCGTGTGGGGTGGCGAGAGGAGAGGCGAGGATAGGAGAGAGGCGTCTGAATTAGTGCCAATCCCCCAGACAGACAGCTAGCTCTGGAACCAGGCACTCCTGAGGCTGCAGGGTTCAGTGCCACCTCCCTCCCTCCCTCCCTCCCTCCCTGCCTCCCTCCCTCCCTCCCTGCCTCCCTCCCTCCCTCCCTCCCTGCCTCCCTCCCTCCCTCCCTCCCTGCCTCCCTCCCTCCCTCCCTCCCTCCCTCCCTGCCTCCTCCCTGCCTGCCCTCCCTCCCTCCCTCCCTCCCTCCCTCCCTCCCCCTCCCTCCCTCCCCCTGCCCTGCCTCCCTCCCTCCCTCCCTCCTTCCTTCCTTCTTTCCTCCCTTCCTTACATTAAAAAAATTAAATTTTAGTCATTTAGCAGACACTCTTATCCAGAGCGACTTATGTGAGTGCATATATTTTTTTCATACTGGCCCCCCTTGGGAAACGAACCCACAACCCTGGCATTGCAAGCGCCATGCTCTACCAACTTCCTTCCTTCCTTCCTTTTTCTCCTCTTTCATGGGAGGGGGGGGGGGGGGGGGGTACGGTGGTGTTTTTAAGCAAATTAGGATGTCTCAATAAAGACAGATTAAAGTCAAAAGTCTATCTCTCTTCCCTCTCCTCCTCTCTCTTTCCCTCTCCTCCTCTCTTTCACTCTCCTCCTCTCGCTTTCCCTCTCCCCCTCTCTCTTTCCCTCTCCCCCTCTCTCTTTCCCTCTCCCCCTCTCTCTTTCCCTCTCCCCCTCTCTCTTTCCCTCTCCCCCTCATGTCTATGTGAGACAGACGTCCACTCCATCCTGGTGAGAGGTGGCTGATGGGCAAAGAATCTGAGAAACCCTCTCCCCAGTTTAGAGTGCCCTGGATGGGAACCAGTGACTCCCAGTCTCCCGTCTCTTTCAATCATTTCATCCCAACAGCAAGACGCATCCCAACTTCCCACATATTAATTTTGTAACAACTAAGCGAGCCGTAATATTCCCTGGCAAAAAAATCTAAATCAAATAAAATAAAAGTTTATTGATCGCGTAAACAGATTTGCAGATGTTGTGGCAGGTGCAGCGACATGCTTGTGTTTCCACCTCCAACAGTGCATGTGGACTACTAGACGTGGGGCGACTCACAGAGATCTGGCGAAAACAAAGAAATCAACAACGCAGGCTACTGTGTTCCCCACCGACAGACAGACAGATATGATGATTATTACGTTGATAGGACAGGAGCAGTACCCATCTAAGTGTTATGGATTGAACATTTTCATTTCAAAACACCATCCCATCAGTTTGTTCAAGGTTATTTTGGGACTGTGTTTACCCTGTGAGAAAATCCACTTTGTAGAAGAAGGTTTATAACTAGAACATATCAATATATAATTCCACCTCTAATAAACTGGTATTAAAATCCCACTCGGATCTGTTTAAATATTTGTGTACAGTGTTCACAAGATGAAATCCATCCATCAATTTTTTATATTCAGTTCAGTGGTCCCTGTCCTGTCAATCACTTCATCACAACCTCTATGATCATGGCTTTGTAATGGACTCACTACTAAATAAATCACATGAGAAAACATCACTGTATCAGGGTTCACATGAAATGGAGATGTCAATCTCAACGTGGCCTCCCTGTGAAAATGAAGGACAAATAAAGTAAAATCAGTGCATTGTTGGCTTTCTAAAAGAGCTAGGGACACTGTTGGTGCATCACTGCTTACACACGATGGTACTCCCGTGAATCCGGCAACAGTAGTGATGGTTGAAGCTTCAGTTCAGTCAGACTGTTCTCGTGTAGAACTGCCACAGCGCCACCTAATGGTCAGTGCACACATCAGTCTGTGACGGGTTGTTTGTTTGATATTCAGTGTAGATTAAGAGTGACACCTACAGGATGTTACTGGGACTTGATGCTTGGCACACTACCCCTCCATTTATAAACTTTCACTGCCATTGATGTTTCAGATTATATCAATTGGGAAGAATTTAAAATCAGTTTTGTAATTATTATCAACAAGTGATGGAAGTAAAGTTATAATTGTGATCAAATAACAGAGGTAGCCATATTCATGGACTATAAAATTCAACTAAACTAGTTTGTGTAAATGAAGATGATTGCATTTAATCCTATGGATTTATGATCCTGGTATTAACCTTAAGGGTGGCATATATATATATATATATATATATATATATATATATATATATATATATATATATATATATATATATATATATATTTGTGACTTTTCATAGATAGATAGATAGATAGATAGATAGATAGATAGATAGATAGATAGATAGATAGATAGATAGATAGATAGATAGATAGTTAGATAGATAGATAGATAGATAGATAGATATACTGAGTGTACAAAACATTAGGAACACCTGCTCTTTCCATGACATAGACTATGATCTCTTATTGATGTCACTCGTTAAATCCACTTCAATCATTGTAGATGAAGGGGAGGAGAAAGGTAAATTATTATTTTTAAGGCTTGATTGTGTATGTGTGCCGTTCAGAGGGTGAATGGGAAAGACTTTGCCTTTAAGTGCCTTTGAACGGGGTATGGTAGTAGGTGCCAGGTGCACCGGTTTGAGTGTGTCAAGAACTGCAACGCTGCTGAGTTTTTCATGCTCAACAGTTTCCAGTGTGTATCAAGAATGGTCCACCACCCAAAGGACATCCAGCCAACTCGACACAACTGTGGGAAACATTGGAGTCAACATGGGCCAGCATCCCTGTGGAACGCTTTCGACACCTTATAGAGTCCATTCCCTGACAAATTGAGGCTGTTCTGAGGGCAAAAGGGGGGAGCGCAACACAATATTAGGAAGGTGTTCCTAATGTTTTGTACATATGTATTGGATGAAAAGTCACAAATAAAAAGTCACAAATAATAGGATAAAAATCATAATTGCCTATTATTTTCAAAAGGTATAGTAATTTTTACAGAAATGTATAATGCTTGTGTTGCAGGTTTCTTTGTTTAATTGTATTTTGTTTTCCCAAAAAAATATGTTATGGAGGTTATTATATTATTTATATTTAACATGAGCTTCTTACTGTCATTTGACTGTTTGTTAAGGCTAGGGAGTATATGGAGCAATCCAGAAAATATACTTTTGATGTATACTTTATAAAAATAAAAAATAAAAATGTTTTTATTCTAAAGCTCCTTTTGAAAAACCCTGAACAACCAATCTACTTTTCCTGTAACCCCGAAGGAAAAAAGAAGATAACTCCAAAAGAGCAATATGTACATATAATCTACAATCAGTTTTTATAATAAAGTGCTTATTTTGGCCATTGTTGAATAAGTACCCAATAGACAACAGTTTACTCCTGCTGCCAAAAAGCTTCTTCAGTCAGCGGCATGGGTGGGCTTATGATTTGAGGATTTGAGGACACACACACACACACACACACACACACACACACACACACAGTTCAGCCTTGCAGGCAGCAAAAGCAACACACGCCAATCCATTGTTTGATTGAGTATATTAATCTTGTTCCAGTGGCTGGCAAATGCTGTAAAACAATCACAACCCTCCCCTTCACCCCCCTCCCCAACCTAATCTCTTGCTTATTGTGAAAATGGTTTTCTATTTTCTTTTAGACCTCAGGGGAATTATAAGACTGAGACACAGATGTACTTCTTTCTTTTTTTGAGGAAAATAAGTAAAAGCAGGAAGCTCTTAAGATTAAGATGTAATTATTTTCAATATTGTTATAAGGATTTAACTTTGTAAAAAGTGTCAGGAAGACATTTCATTCTGTAAAGGTGCTTTATGACCCAAATGAAATGTGTGTTGAATTATATCTACTGTAAAGTGAACTGCTGGGAAACAGATTTGGGTAATCTCATTAATTTTTTTATTTATTTTTAAACGCATTTTGGTTTAAAATTGTTCTGCCACGACGTAGGCCTACGCTGTATTCAAAATAAGGCATTGTATCGTTTTTTGGGACATAAGTCACTACTCATTCTGTTCTAAACTACACATTTATTCTGGAAATTGCACCATGGATATTTGTCAAGCTGAAATGTATTTATTTATCCGGAATAAGGACAT